TATATATATATATATATATATAAAATAGATAGGCTTTTTGGTTTGGTTATTTTTACTTCATAGGCTTTTGTCTGCCTGGTTTAGTATCTCCAGGGTTCCCACACCTTGGTCAACATCAAATTCAAGGATCTTTCAAGGACTTTCCAGTACCAATTTCCTCAAATCTAAAAACCATACGCAATGGCAATTACCTACTGCTACTGCAGAATGGTACCAATAAATAGGTTTAATATCATGTAAATTCAATGAAAAACTGAACAACATAAACTTTGTTGAGTCAGAATCAACAAAAGAAAGTGGATTAAATGTTTACCCTACATTCATATCTACAATACATGGACATGTAATTATGTCCTGGGAGGTTCTGCAGCTCAGATTGGGAGGAGGGGATGTGAACACGTCCAGACGCTCGGTGAAGACAGGAGGAGCTGTGGTGCTCTCACCTGGGCTCAGAAAGAAAGACCCGCCCTCCTCTGCTCTGATTGGATAAAACTATGACTATGACTCACGTCACTGAAAGCCACGTCAGTTTACTGTAATCCTGAGTTATCCACCACAACAAATGTATGTTTTTATTATTTATTTATTTATTTAAGATGATGAAAATCATTTGCGTGAATAAAGAACTTCAATCCTCAAAAAACATTCAAGGACTTTCAAGGACAAGTGTAATTTTTGGCTGTTTTCACAAACTTCCAAGGGTCTTGAAATATTTTTTTCAAATTCACAAACTTTCAAGGATTTCAAGGACCCGTGGGAACCCTGTATCCCTTAAAATCTCTTTAACATCATTTAATTATATATATATTGAGCTGATTAAATTAAATTTAACACTGACAATTGTTTTTCCTGAGGAAACTCAGCAAACGTGGTTATGTTATTTAAAAAATTAGTTTTACTTCAGAGTGAGACAAAAACAAGTTGCTTCCATCACTAAATTCAGACAAAAAGGGATAATATATCTGAAGTAAAAAAAGTTTAAATAAAAGCATTTTTACTGTTTCATATTCATCTAGCAAAGTTTGCACAGATTCCTTATTCATGAACAGATATTATGTCGGCTGTTTAACACATTCTGCAGAAGAAGCAGTGATCAGGTCACAGGATTTATTACGGGCTGCCAACGGCTTTATTACCAATACGCAAGTGGAACACGATTGGCAGAACCTCGGGGAAACGCAAACGGCACAAATGAAGTGCTTGAAAACAGTGGCACTAAGTTAGGCCACATGAGTGTAGGTGTGAGGTGCCAGGACAGGGATAAGAAGCATTTGGCAGAGGGTTCTGTTCCTGCCTCGTGCCATTCCACATGTTCCAGCCCAGGAAGGACAAGAAGAGTTTGTCAACGTTGCTTTAGTTACCACCTTCTGTCATCTCTGCACGCCTGCCACCGAGATTAATCAGTCTTCCATGACATCATCAAATGTTTCTGTCATGCCTTCCACCTACTTCCCTTTCATTTTTACTGCTCCCTACTCCAGCAACAACCACGGGTTTGATTATGCAATTAAATGTTGATCAGAAGAAAATGACAACTCTATAACATAATGTTGATAAAGCATCCATTTCTCAAAACTTGTGTCTATTCGGGCACAAATGTGGCGTTTTCCTGAGACATTTTACCCGGTACATAATATATATATTTTTTACTAAATATGGTATAGAGACAAGGCTAGAGGAGGAAAGAAAGGTCAAATAAAGACATGAAGCATGGAGGAAGTAACTATGGTGTAAGAGGAAAAAGAAAACAGGCATAAGGTGAGAAAACAACAGGACTAAGCAGGAAAAAGGGACAAAAACAGAATCAAGAAGTGAAAGACACTTTGACTGATGAAAACATGATAGCCCTCAGGGTTGAAGAAGCAAATCAGAAAAAGAATCTGGACAAAAGAAGAGCTGTCGAGGTATTTTTCTCTTGTTTATTAAGTCCAGAGGTTAAATACCGTATTTATTCGTGTATAATAAGATCTCATGTATAATACGACCCCCCATTGAATCCTCAAACTACCTCCAGTTTCATACAGACTTCAAGATTTTTCAGCCTTTGCAGTCTTTATACATATCAGTAAAATGATCATTGGACTGTTCATTTTATTTTAACAACATATGTACTAAAAGGTATTTTGACAACAAATATATATCAGCTGTAGCAGCATCATATGAATTCTGGCATTTTACACGTAGTCCACCAGGAGGCGCCAACACAAAAGTCAGAGACTTCACATGAGATTTGGACCATCTTGTGGGGGAAAAGCAGATTACTTCCTACTCACGAGCGCCCCCTCTGGTGGGGAAACTTTTTTCAGGGATACAAACTTTTTCAGAACACCGGTAGACGGCAGCCATTACAGACGAACATGTGTTTGTTGTTGTTCCAGGAGCGGCTCGGTCATACGCTAATGTCATTAGTTTGTTATCATTACTGAGCTGCAGGACTGCTACCCCCCCCCCCCCCCCMYTTTTTTTTTCACATCATGTCTCCTGCCTGGATCTGTTATCTCGCTCTGAAGCACTGAGGAGTGTCAGAGGTGAGCTCGTTTCAACTGCTTTTTACAACGCGGTCTCATTTCCGGACTCAGGCATTTTCTGAATGAAGCCGATATTTCAGTTAAAATACATGAGTAAAAATATTTATCCGAGTATAATACCTCCCCAATTTTATGGATTAAATTTTACGTATTATACTTGAATAAATACGGTAAGCCAAAGGGATTAAGAGATTTAGTGAAGGTACCTGCGTACTGACAACAATAGAAAGGAGATTATTCTGAACTGTTTAGGAAATTCAGAAAACATGATCCATGTCCATGGCACTAAAAATATACTGTAATATCAACATTAATAGGAAATAACCAGTTTTACCGAGGATAGTGGAACCTTCTGATCCATTGTTGGAAGACTGGCATTCTGCGACATCCAAGGAGCTAAGGCCGTCCTCGTTGATGGACTGGGGTAAGTCCTGGAGCTCCTCCATGCTGCCCATGAAATCATCATTACCACACAGGGGGTCATCTAGCAGTGAGTCCTCCAGAGGAGACGGGGGGTGGTAATGGCTCTCCATGTCAACCATTGTGATGGAGGAGCAGGTTGGTGGCCCCGTCACTCATGAGACTGAAAAAAAACCAGGGTAAAGAGAATAAAAATATGAGTCAGAAAGTTAATATGGAAGCACTGGCTGAAAAAAGAAGACTTTTCTAGTTTAGTTTAAGTATGTCTCCTGATATATTTATAAATCATCTTTAAACACATTTATATTATGCCATTAGCAGTTTGCTGTCATTTCTACCTTTTCCTATGCTTATTTGTGATTTTGACCTGTAAATGCATAAGTCAGAAGGTCAAAAACATGGCAGTTTAAAGGGTCTGTGAATAATTATTTTTGTTATAAATATGTATGCATTTATGAAAAGATAATGAAAACATATTGCAGGAAAATTGCTGAGATGAACAGTTGTTGACATATTTACATGTGCAGTAACAGGAAGTGATGGCTAAAAGGAATGCTACGACTAAAAACAGAGGCTGTAGGGAAGAATATATTTCTTTAGATTTCTTTGAGTCACAGAGAGATGATGAGTCAGAGTTCAAATGATATTGTGTCAATAAACAAAGAGCAGAGATTTCCTTTTTTAAAGAGCTTCCTTAGATGTCACTTCCTGTTTCACTTTGTCTGAGCCACTTCAAAGGAAAATAAGCCAGTTATTTGACAAAATTAGTAAAATCATACATTATGTCCAATGTCTTAAATATAAAAGATGTTTTCTTTATCTTTTTGCATCTGAAGGATATGAATGCCACAGGCACTTTAACGTGAGTTAAATGTTGGCATGAAATTGTAATCACCGTTCACCTGAGAGTACACTGAAAAAAAAAACTTGTAAGATTTATTTGAAAAAATCGTCTAACAAATTTGAACTAACGTTTGGTAAGTAAATTCAAATGCTACAAATTCATGTAATATTTACTCATCATTATCTAGTAAAAGTTATTAAGAATATAGTTAAAGATTTGTGAATAAATCTGGTAAATTTCACTTAATTTGCTCAATTAAATCTTGTAATATATAATTGATCAAATTTAGTAAAATTTACCTGATTTATTCAGAAATCTTTAACTATATTCTTCTGGTCAATTCATGAAATGAGACACGTTATAAGGATGTCCCGAC